GCTCCTACTTTTTCTGTCTAACAGCCAACCTGTGGGCCATATTATATGCTCTGAGGGAAGTAGCCCTTTCAGGACAGCCTGACCTGTGGGACGCTGGACTCACTTCCCCATGATGGCTCATGCCCTACATTAACATCTGTGACCCAGCTACCCTCCGGTGGCCACTGGATGTCAGCTGAGAAGCACACTATGTCCCCACCTCACAGTGTCCCTGAGTAGGAGGAACACAATGGGTGTAGTGCTCCCAGACACCCAGGGCAAAGGTCACTGGGCAGAGGCCACCAGGTACAGTTCCCAGCACCTTTTCTGAACAGAATCCTGCCAAATCCAGCCCTTAAGCCAGGTGGCTCTGGTCACCACATAGCTGCTGCGTCATTGCTGTCCCTTGTGCCCAGGGTCAGGCTGCTTTTCCTTTCCTGTTTCACTAGTCTGTAACCATCCCCTAGTTTAGCTCTTCTTGGGTCATCTCCATGGTAACAAGAGAATGGCCAAGAGGGTCCCAGTGGAAGGGTGCAGCTGTCCTCAAGGATCTCCTAAGTGAGCATCACAGTGCATGGTGTGGAGCAGGTTAGATTGGGTGATGCCACAGTGCACAGAACGGAGACTTAGCCAGTATGGGCGAGGTTTGTGGGATAGAGACGTGTGTGTGTGTGTGTGTGTGTGTGTGTGTGTGTGTGAGAGAGAGAGAGAGAGAGAGAGAGAGAGAGAGAGAGAGAGAGAGAGACGTGGTGAGCACGTGTAGTGGGGAGAAGTTGAGGTGAGGGTGTGGGTGTGTGGATGTGTTTATATGAGGTTCGGGGAGTGTGTTTAGTAGGGGTATGTATGACTACCTGTGAGAGTAGGTATGAATGTGGGTGCTAGTGATTATAGGGGTGTCAGTACAAATGCATGCGAGTGTGTGATATGTTTTCATATGTCCACGGATGTTTATGAGGTGTGTTAAAAGCGAGAGGTGTTTGTGTCCGTATCTATGTAGATGAGTGACTAGGTCTGTGATTTGTGGGGTCGACGTGTGTTTGTGACCTGTGCGTGCAGCAGTGGGAGATGGGAGTAAGGCCACGGGTGTGGGAGAGTGGGAGTGGTACTGTGAGCGTGGGTGCCTGGGAATGTGGCGGGTGAGGCTGTGTTTGTGATGTGTGCATACATGTACAAGAACGGGTGTGCATGAATGCAGGTTGTGTGTGTGTGTGTGTGTGTGTGTGTGCGCGCGCGCGCGCGCACGCAAATGCCTTTGTGAATTTGCGGGGTAAGAGTGGGCACACGTGAGTCCGAGCATATATGTGTATGGGGGGAGTGGGATGAGTGTGCCAGCGGGAACTGACACAGGGTGGTCACAGTGAGTGGGACCAAGGGTGTGGGTGCTAGGAGAGAGGGTGAGACTGGTGCTCAGCGGAAGCGTTGGGTGCCAGCTGATGTTGGCTTGGATTCGAAGGTCCCTGCCAAACTCCCTCTGGTGGCCACCTGGGGACCATGCAGGTAAGATGGTCAGGGCTCCTCCCCTGTGGGCAGGGAAGGGTGTGAGTTGCTATTTCCTCAGGGTATCCTGGTTAATGTCCCTCAGTGACAAAGTCAGCATCTTGTGAAATACCGGGGCCAGCACATTCCTTGGGCTGGCAGTAGTGATGGCTGACTCTCAGGGAGACGACAGGAAGGAACCGTTGGCTGCCTCTTACTAAAAGAAAATCCAATTTTCCTAAGTAGACATTTAGAAATGACCGTCCTTATGGGAGTGTTCAGCTTCACACCTAAAGAAATCGATCCCGTGGAGGCATGGGCCTGGGACCCCAAGAAATGATTCTGCCTCCTCAGGCCTGGGCATAATTGATACCCAAGGAGGCAGCAGACAGGGGGTTGAGTGACAGACTCCATTTAGCTTGTGGGCTGAGGCTGCGTCTTCCCAACTGGGGGATTAAAATGTCTGCCTGCATTTTCCACTAACCCCAAGCACATTTGGAGACTGAGTCACTGGTAAGCAAGAGGAAGAGCCTTCCTCCTCCACATTGATTGTGGGCGGGGTAGAGAAAGGCTATCCTGGGATGTGGAGGAGCTAAACCATGAATGCAGCAAACATCTGCAGATTTTAGCCTGAATGAGCTGGGCAGAGTCGAGTCGGGGTTTGCTTGCCTGGGGCAGAGCAGACCTGGGGGGCAACTGAGACCCTGGCAGCCTCTGCAAGAACACAGCACACCTGCGTCCAGGAGCATGGCCCTGTTGAGAGGAGGGATGATGAGACAGTGAAGCTCACCTGCTCTTTGCTTTCAGGGGCTCAGTATCTTCTTACATCCCACCGCCCTGGAAGCAATTCCATGGTTAGTTGGCTGTATACCCAGCCTATGGAGAGCCAGCAAGGGCAACCAGGCTGTTAAAAGCATTTGTTACTTGCTCCTCAGAGGATGAAGTCTTGGGACAGCTTGTCTTTCTGGCCTTTTCCTAGTCCCAGAAATCTTGTATCACCCAGTGTTATCATGTGCCCCTGACAGATGCCCAGCATCCTCCTTGCGGCTCTGGGGTGGGGTGCCTGCATTCTACGGGCAAACTGTAGTCATCCTTGGACGTCTGATACTTCGTTCTTCTGGTGTCAGTGTGATGAGATGAGAGGCAAAGAGAGCTGCACCGTGCACAAAATCCTGGAAAGGGAGTGGTCCCCACGCCTCAGCCCGGTCTGTCCCTCTCAGAGCCTCCCCCAGGAACTGGACAGCTGCTGTTCATTTTTACTTGATTGGGAAGTGGCGGGCAGCTCAGCCTTCCTCTCTACTTACAGATCCACATGAAGACCATGCCTGCGGCCATGTTCAGACTCCTCACAGGCCAGGAGACCCCGCTGTACATCTAGGTACACCCAGCCTCACCATGGAGCAGGGACGCCAGGCAGACCCACCTGGGCCCAGAGGAGCCAGAAGCCAGGACACAGCCCTGACCCCTCATCCCATAGCCCAACCAAGAACTCTGGCTCCCCTGAAGGGTGTGTCCTCACCACCTAGTTTTCTTGTTTTGGTTTGGTTTTTGGTTTTGCCACAAAAAAAAAAAAAAAGTCCGTCCTTACCAAGGGGGAGTCGAGGGACAAGCCTTTGGGACACTTACCGGTCCTCTGCCACATTCTCCTCGCGGCTGATGAAGGGTGCTCCCGGGTAGTTCTGTGTGCTGTGCTGTGTTCTTCTTCCCTGAGGCTATGGAATGTGAATGTGGTGCCCGCCCCTGCGGCTGTGAAGGGAGCCCTCTGTGATGCAGCTGCAGCCATCTCCTCCCTTTGGCTGGGACACTTGGGGTCCAGCCGAGTCGTAAAGGGCCCATGTGCTGGCGTAGCCTCCATCTGCATCGGAGCAGGGGCAAGCTGGCTCCTGGGACCCTGGATGAGGCTTGTGCCGCGTCTGGGAACCTATGACTGATTGTAAGTATTGACGCAGCAAGGGGATACTCCCGAGTTAAATAAAAAAAAAAAAAATGATGGTCACAATGCCAAAACTCCATATTTATTTAGCAAATATTACTGTTTGGACTTTGACCTCGGCAAGCCATTCTTAAGACATTTAGGTTTTCCGGCGACCTGTGACCACAGCTGCTTCTCCTGTCCTCGCCTGTTCTGAGTCCCCTGAGACCCTGTGAATTTCCCTGGACATCTTCACGTGGACTCCTTCTCCACCGCAAGGCTCCCTGTTGAGGGGGGCAACATCCTGCCAGGAACAAAGGCAGAAGCATGGGAGACATCCCTATTTAAAAAAAAAAAAATACGTATACCCCATAGCGCAACACACACACACACACACACACACACACACACACACTCTCTCTCTCTCTCTCCCCAACAAAGCAAGCCCACAGCAGAAAACCCCCGACCTCCTCCCTTCCTGAAGGGAACAGCGAGAGTGTAAATTACTTGTCCAGTGAGGTGCTTGGCCATCCCGCGCGGAGCAGTGTTAGTGTGTGGAGCAGAACGCAGCGGCTGGCTCTGTTCATTAGCGATCAATGTGACCTGACATCATTTTGTCTGGCAGTCTCTTTTTTTTTGGCTCAGGCCTTGAAGAAATACACTGTGACTTAAGAAGCCTTATTACACAGTAACTAAAGCTTTAGAATTACTGTACTCGAGGAGTAACCTGTGTGTTGCATGCAGCCGACCCTAGGAAGACTTCCTGCATATCGCTAATAAACCTGAAGTCATGACAGAAAAGCACTTGGTGCGCCTCATTTGTGGGCTGAGCGGACCCTGCGGGCCTCTCCTTTCCAGCTGGGACTGTGGCTCTGTGAGTCTGCCTGTGGTCATATGTCACCCCTCCCTGGTCTGGAGCCTTCGTAGCTCTCGTAAGAAGTTTGAGGGCAGGTGCTAAAATCACCGGGTGTCACTGATGGTATCATGTCACCAGGCCAGCTCCAGGGTCCCTACTCACCGGCTGCATGGACAAGATGTGGCTGGAGATGTCTGCTGACTACATAAAGGAGCAAGTGGAGACAGGCTTCTCCAGATCAGCTACCTCTGTGTGTGAGAGGAAGTCGGCCCGCACCCTGGCATTTCTCCACACGTGCGATACATACATGGAGAATATTAACATCTGGGCTGCGTTGTACTTGCTCAGTGGCCACAGGTGGGCTGTTCCCTGACGTGAGTGAGGAATGGGAGTAAACTTGGGATTTTTCTCAGGATGTTGGGGTGGGAGATGTTGGCAAGCCAGAATCTCTGACCAGCCAGAGCAGAGCAGATCCCATCGTCGTGAGCTGTCGGCCACGTGCTTTCATTGCTCGTGATTCTGCAGGAACCTCCCGAAGGGCCTGAGCCATGTGCTCCCCTCACTTCTGGCCATCGGGGCAGGTGAGAAGCAGCCTTTCACTGTGGACTCTGGCTCCAAACAGGGGCGGTGGAAAGAAACAGCATCAGAAATACAGCACAAAGGTCTCCCCACTCCCCAGAGACAGAAGGCTCGAGAACAAAGAAAATGCTTCCCCACGCCGACATTCAAAAACTGCTATCTAGATGGCTTGCGTTCTTGCAGAATGAAAAGAACAGTCCCTGGGGTGAAAGCTACAGAGCAGAGGAGCTGGCACCTGCTGCCCGCCAAGCAGAATGCCCTTGTGTGTCCTGGACAAGCATGTGCCCAGCTCCGGACAGATGCACTGGGATGAGATGAGGGTACCACATCCACCAACTGTTACACAGTGGGTGTGGGGTGTACATGGGTTTTCTTTCACCTGTGTGCAGGCACGAGTGACCATCTGTGCACGTGTGGAATGTTATCCTCTGTCACACCTAATCTTGTCTATGGAGACAGAGCCTTTTACGGAGCCTGGGGCTTGCTCTTTCAGCTGGGCTAGCCACCTGGCAAGCCCCTGGGATCCTGCTGGTCTGCACATCCCAGCAGTGGGGCTACAGGATCACCTCCCCTCCTCCTGGAATCCAAATCAGGTCGTCATGATTGTCCAATGAGTTCTTTACCCACCTTGCCCCTGGTACACAAGTTCAGAACCTTAAATGGAAGATGTCAGATTATACCACACTTCCAGGTTCTTTTGAATGTCAGGTCCACAGAGGGGCAGCTGTGGTTTGGACCTGTAGGCACAGGGGACTGTCTTTGCTCCTCAGTCCCTGGCACTGAGTTTTGGGTGGAAAGTTGTGGTGGCCCACCAGATCCAGCCCCTCCAGGACCCTCTTTGTCCCAGTTAGACCTCAGTGACCAGAAATACTTTTTATTAAAACACTGATCATTATGAAAACACCTTGAGGTACATTAAATAAATACAAACTTTCAAGTTGTACAAACTGGTCTCTGGGGGCCTGAAAGCAATTTCTGCATCAGCTGCAGCTGCTCTAGCAGAAGTGGGGGACAGAAGATCCGACATGAGCTTTCTGTTCCAGGGTTAGTTGCAAGCATTTCATTTTATCATGGCCTCCTTGAGACCTTTAGTCCTCGTGATGGGGCCTCCCACCCTGCCTTCCTCAAAGTAGAGTTGATGCCCACAGTGGGTTCACATCAGCATCTTCCTGCCCCTAGGCAGACACTTGAAGGATGTCTTAGAAGGTACTGGCTTTTTTTTTTTATTTATTTGTTTGTTTTGTTTTGTTTTTTGGTGGTGGTGATGGGGCAGGACCAGGCAAACCTGGAGTGAGAGCATCTCCTCCCAAATGATCACAGTTGGACCCAGTTCAGACATCAGAAAAAAAGAAAAAAAGAAAAGAAAGAGAAAAAATAATAAAAGAAAGAAAAGAAAAAGCTTCCAAGACAAATGTGCAAATGTGGAGAATGACAGTTTTTGCTTTATGGAATCCACATATTGCCTGGGGTTCCTAGTATACTAGGTCACCACTGAGGCAGAGCTAAGGGACCCAGAAGAGACAAGACAAATCGCAAGAACATCACCTAGTGGCTGTAAGCCTGGAGCTGAGCATTCCTAGTCCTCATGTGGACTGTGTGGGGCTCTGCAAAGGTGAATGCAGACTGACCTGTCATCTAACAGTCTTGTTCTGGGAGTCACGGGTTCTCACCCACCCTGGAGCATCAAGTTGTGTGGTTTCTGTGTCCGTAAGATAGACCTGTTAGCGGAGCCATCTCTAACCTCGCCTGAATGGTTTGTGCATGTCCCTTTCTTGAGCCTGCCTAGGACTCAAGGCTTCCTGCAGCCGAGGGACGGTGCAGGTTGAGGCGAGAGTGCTGCAGGACAGACAGGGGCCTGCTGCAGACGGGCAGCGTGAAGGCCAGAGTCCGGCACTGTGCCCAGAAACCCTTCACCCTGGATGCATCATGAAGATACCCTAGAGCTTGGGTCAGTTGGGTGGGGTGGGGCCCGGCCTCTCTTGGATCTCAGCTTGATCGGGGAGAGCCACAAGTGTTTAAGCACCTTGTGGCATGGACCCTCCAATCACGAGACACCCTGCAGCTGCCTGACCTCACCTCACCTCATTTTTGAGGTGATAAAAATGCCATGCGGCCAGGCTATGCAAGTTTTTTTCAAGCTGATATGCTCAGGGGAGGCCATTCTACCTGTAAGGGTTTTGACAAAGTCCTCACTTGAGGAAAATGAGAGGATTTTAGAGTCTGGATAAAGTGCTTGAAAACTCATCTCTATTGCGTCTCCCGCGGAAAAGGCAAGGTTGTCATCATGTGCCTGATTTATGTCCTCCAGCTCCATAACCATAGGAAGGCCACAACTTACGGCAATGGTCAAGTCATCAGAGCAAGGAAAGCCGACCACCATTGGGTGTCTCCCAAGCCTTCAGCCCCCAGCTTCCAAACACACAAAGGTCCTCAGTATATTGGCTACAGGGAATTGGGGGGGCTGGGACATGGGAGTAGAAGCTGAAGGACAGGCCAGCCCAGGCAGAGTGGAGAGAAGGGCTTCTTAAGCCTACCAGCTGGACACTGACCAATGGTGGTCACACTCTGGTGCACCCTGGCACTTTCCATAGACTTAGGGCCTCGGTGCTGATATCAAGGCTCACAGGCCAATTGGGGTACAGTGATCTCACGTGCTTGGAGCTGCTGCTTTGGATGAATCAGATATGGGGTTTCCATTTTTCCAGGAAGTTCTTGCAGGCAGCGTTGCTCTGGACCCATTGCTGAGACATGGTTACTGTTGATCGGGCCAGAAAATGAGGTCTGAACAGCCAGAAAGTCTGGGGGTGGTCATCTTCCCCAAAGTCACCTGGCTATGCCCCAGCTGGTTTTGCTCTGCTTCTATATTCTCCCAGAAATAAGTGACTGACCATCTGCATCCCTCAACACAGGTGTGCCTGCTGCCACCTGAATCGAGGAGGAGCAACTCTGGCTCACGAAGGCATGCCTTGGCCAAAGGTGCACACATAGCAGAGATAAACGCATCTTAGCCAGCATTGTGACCTACCCAGCTCGGTTGGGTGATGTCAGATACCAGGGGAAGCCCTCCGAGGGATGCAGAGAGGAGCCTATTGCTAAGACACAAGTGACAGTTATTTGCTGTGGTTAAACAATGGGAGGCCATGGGGGAGGGACCCAGGGAAGGACGTGGGGGTAGCAGCTCACAGTCAGAGGCCTAGAGGGGAGGCCCAGGACACAAGGAGGCGGGCATTTCAAGCCTTCACGACACCTGCTCGCTGTCCAAGCGTGCCTAGGAAGAGTTTTCATGGTAGATTTATTTGCATGATAGCCCAGTGATCAAAAATGTGGGTCCAGGCTGTGCTAGCGTTGCCTATTTCCTTGGAAAGGAAGTGATGGGTCTGGATTCTTTAAAGGTTCCGCTCCAAGTGATACCAGTCACATGGCTCCATTGCTGCTGCCACCTTCTGCTCAGGTAACACTGAGCTGAACTGGGCCCAGAAGATAACCTTGTGCCAAAGGCCTTGATTCGGAACAGATACAGTGTCCTTAGGTTCCATAAGTGTCACCTGTCCCTAGATAGGGATTCCGGTCACATTCTTCAGTTCAAGGTGCTATCCCCCCTGACGCAAGCAGAGCTTGCTGAGTTAGTGGGACAGGGGGCAAACAGTCCCTGGGAAGACAACCGATGGGAGAAAGAGTAACAGTTCCCTGCCCGGGCCACCAGAGAGCCTCGCCTGGGTATTCTGATTGTTCTCTGCCCTGCAGGCCAAAGGCCTCTCTCTGTCAAACTCGGTGGCATCATGCAGGACTGGACTTGCAGGCACTGGGACCATCAGTGTCTACATCCAGGTCTGTAGCTGCTTCATAGCTGGTCCAGGACGCCAGCACCAAAGATGGCCTCCTCCACCCTGGGCTCCTCCGAGGTGACTGTTGAGCGGACGGTGCCCACCACATGTCGCACCTCTGAAGGGAGGGTACAGTGTGAGTGTTCCAAGAACTTAGCCACCAAGACCCTGGTGTCCGTGTAGCCCTTGCTCTCCACTAAGGAGTGCGGCCGTTCTTTGGAGACGGTCTGTAAGGTCTCCGGCTTGGTCCCTTGGTCCGTTTTCCAGGTATCTTGGTTGCCGGCGGACGGGAGCTGGTGCTGACCGGCGGCCGTGGCGGGGCGCGATGCAGAGACTAGAAATCAAAGTGAAAGAGGAAGTCTGAAAACAGCTGTGAGCCAAACGAAACCAAAGTTCTAGAAAGAAAAAGAATGAGCAAGAGTAGGCTGCGAGTTCTGTTTCAGAGAAGGCGCCCGAGTGGGACGTGCATCCTGCCAGCATCGGGGGAGTCGGGGTTAACCTCTCAGGATTGAGGTGGGGAGTGAACTAAGGGGTGGGCCCAAGAGAAGGGCTGCTGAGGGGTTGCTGAGCTCTCCCCGGCCTTCTCCAGCTCCATGACTTTTGTCCTTTGTGGTCTAATGGCCTGTTGGGGCAGAGGAGGAACATCTAGACAGGTTTAAGACTAGAGCTGGGGTGGCAAGAGGTAGTGAGATTCCTCCCCCGTGTTAGCGTAGACGGCAGCCTCTATTCAGGGCCTTCCTCCAGTGTCCTCTAGGCTGGGCCTGGAGAAATGACTCTGGCTCCTTTAGATGTCATAACCATCACTTCACCTCAAAATTGGGACAAACACTGCTTAGATGGCACCTCCAAGAGCTAGGCATCTGTGGGTAGCGAGATACAGTCCACTAGCTGAGGACCACATTGAGTATCAGCTTGCCTAATATGACACCCAAAATGGACATTCTGGGTGGTCTGCTCCAGGGTCCTGGGAGATCTAGCTAAGTAACGAAATACATGATGATGTATAAATCTCTTAGGCAGAGCTAATATTGCCTTAATAAAGCAAAATAAGGCAAAGCTGGGTGGCAATGGCCCCAACCTTAGCACTCCGAGGCTGAGACAGGAGATTGAGGTCAGTCTGGGCTACTTAATGAGATGCTGTCTCAAAACAAAACTAAATGTAAGTAAACAAGTTAAACATATGTGTTCTGTTAGTTACAGGCTTTGATATAACTACCTTGAGATAGGCACTCACATTCCGGAGCAGCTGGATGCAGAGGCAGCAAAGGACCCCTCACCATGACTCACCCCTTCACAGTAGGTGGATGTCAAAATGTTTGAGGGGTGCCTCACTTCTCTCCAGAGCAGTCCAGGACAGTCCTGTCTGCACCTCAACTAGAAGAACATCCAGTCCCCACAGGAAGAGGCAGAAAGGATCACTGGTAAAATTCACCAGCTGCCTAGGGCTGAGCAGGATGTTAGATGGTGGATGAGCAGCCGTGTGGATAAAAGGAAGTCACCTTGTAGTTCTCTCCCAGGTTCAGGTCCCACAGGAGCCCAGCAGGTGCCTCGGAATACCCTCCAATCCCGAGGCTCTCCAGGGAAGCAGAAGGTGCATGCCATCAACTTGGGGAACAATGGCAGTCTCATCTCCCGAGAGGAGACTGAAGTCGCAGGCTGCTGTGTGGACCTCAGGAAGGAAAGGTGGCTACCTCTCCCTTGCCCCATCCTTGCGGCTGTATGTCACAGACCATGAATTCCAAAGAATGCTATCAGAAGGCCAGAGAAGGGACCTAATCCCCTCCAGCCATATGAGACCCTCTCTCAAAGCTCCGTGAGGGGGAGTGGACACAGAAACTCCTGTGCTGCCCTTGGGGGTGGCATGCACAGAAGCTCTGGGGATGCAAGTTAAGGAGCAAAGAGAGCATTCCAGGTTTGAGCTGACCTTTCTCCATGGAGGTGCAAGGGGTGGGGAATGTAGCACCCAGATGCTATAGGCACAAAATTTGACGTTTCTACCATGAAGACATTCCCAGATAGCTGGCTTCTGTCACTTTTTTGCTTCCTTCCAAAGGCTGCTCTTCCTTGGCATGGCCAGATTCTAGGCTGCCTCGTGTTCAGCTACATAGGAACCTGGGAGTGAGGCTGGTGTGGGCATCCCCATGCCCTCCGTAGAGTCCTTAAAAATGGACATCAGAGGAAGTTTGTGCTGCGATGCAGTCAAAGGCCACTAGAAAGTCCTCACTGGCAGAAATTACTCCCCTATAACATCAAGGTTGTGTCCATCCTCCAGACTCAAGGACATGAGAAAGACTCCCAAGGAAGCTGGTATGGGCAGCTGGCCACAGGAATCCTGTAGTACTAGATCGTGCCCATTTGGAATAAAAACAGCTAAGGGCATTGGTAAGTGCTGCCTGTAGTGGTCTGAGTAGGTATGACCCCATAGACTCGTGTCTATGCTTAGGCCCATAGGGAGTGACATTATTAGAAGATGTGTCCTTGTTGAAGGAAATGTGTCATTGTGGGAAGTGGGCTCTGAAGTCTTATATGCTCAAGCTATGTCCAGTGTGGCACACAGTCTCCTTCTGCTGCCTGTGGATCAAGATGTAGAACTCTGAGTTCCTTCTCCAGCACCATGATGATCATGGAGTAAACCTCTGAAACTGCAAGCCAGCTCCAATGCTTTGCTTCCTTTATAAGAGTTGCCATGGTCATGGTGTCTCATCCCAGCAGTAGAAACCCTAAGACACTCCCTGAACACACTCAGGGCAGAGGACATACCGCCTACACACAGTCTTTATTCGTGCTCACCAGCTCTGACCTGGACCTCAGAGCATGCATACAGTTCGGTGCTGATGCTCAGGTCGGAGCTGCTGGCCACCTAAAGGGATCTCATTACCCTCAAGTCTTAAATCCTTCCTCCCTTGCCAGAATGATGCCTCCCTGGCAACACAGCAAGAGCCCAAGGCTCCCTTCCCCTCCACCCCAACTGAGGGCCCTCAAGTGTGCAGATGACATTTCCCCGGATCCGACCTGGGCCTCAATTGTCAAAGGTCACTTGTCCTGCGAGTTGGGTACATCCTGAGAACACACGTGAACCATACCTGCTTCACTGAATGCGCGGGAGGTGGGGTCGCTGGCGGAGCGGGCCACACGCCCTGGGCTTGGCTGTGCCTGTGTGCTCAAGGTTGTTGCTTCTGGTGACATGTGGTGAGAGACTGGAGTAGGTAGAAGTGGCGGTGGGGTGTCCAGAGTGCCATCAGGGGAGGGGTGGCTTGGACCCAGTGAGGTGGCACCCTCTGATGTTGGGAGACTCGTGCTACTAGCAGGCACTGCAAGAAAACAGGCGATTAGGGTGAGTGATTACAAATTCTGAATGCAGAATCAGCCGGATGCCTGCCCTCCAAACCCTACCTATATAAACTCCACAGTTAGAAGCAGGCCGACACTGAGGCAGGTTGCCAAACCAGTACCTGGCGTGCAGTCCCTAGATCAGATATGTGAGACAAACATAGCCCATGTGATGCTTGTCTTGGTTCCCAGAGTAGGCCCTGGGCAGCACCATCAACCTTTCCTGGGAACAAGCAGAAATGAACCCAGAGTGGGGGTGTAGGTCAGCGATAGGCTCTGATTTGGCACAGTGAGACATGGGGGCAGGAACCGGGGGAGCCTGGGCGCTCAAGCCCCAGCTGGACTCTAAATTGTGAGCATCGCCACTGTGGACCAGTGAAGCTGGCCACGTCTGTGCTTCCTTCCCACTCAGAGGCCAGAAGCCCATGGGTTGCACCAGGGGCTGTTTCACGCATGAACATCAAACCCCAGTGGGTCGACACTTCCTTCACCTGCCTGGAATTACTGGCTCTGTGCAGGGGCAGACGCTGCAAGGCGATGACCTGCCTGAGGGAACCTGCTCCATCATAGAAGCCCAAATTCCAGCACAGGTGGGATGCTTCAAGCTTTGTTCCTTCCTTCTCTCCCACAGGGCCCAGTCAGTGCCCCTTGCTCCCCCCGTGTCCATGAGCTCTCCCCAGACCAGGACTTCAGAGACACCTGCCACTCAGTACCCACTGCCGACTCTTGAACCAGCCTGTGGAATATTCTAAAACATTCTTGTCTAACTACTCCACCCCCCACCCCCAGAAACAGTTGGTGACAAGTAGCAGTCCATTTTGCAAAACAGAAATGGTACCAATATATCATATATAAACAAACACCCGGATCTTCAGGAAGATTAACCCTTCTTTTTGGAGGGCATAAACTCAGGAGAAGGAAATCCATAAGAGGACGGCAGTTTCATATATCCTCTGAAGTTTGGAACGGAGAATTCATGGGCAGGATGGAAACCGCAAAGGGAAGGAAGAAAACTGAAAATAAAACGTTGTGTGTTTTGGCCCATGGAATCAGCTAAGCAGGGCTCGTGGGGGTCCACAGACTGAAATGGAAATTGCGGAGCCCATACAGGTCTGTGCTAGGTCCCCTGATTGTATGTTATGGTTGTCGTCTTGGTGTTTTGACAGGACTCCTGGCAGTGGGAGTGGGGGGTATCTCTGATCCTTCCCTGCTTTGGTGACCCTTTTCCCCTTACTGGACTGTGATACTCAGCCTTGATGTGATGGTTTGTGCCTAGTCTTATGGTATCTTAAGGCCTTACTAGGTTGATGTTCCTGGTGGGGCTGCTCTTTTCTGGGAGGAGACAGTGGAGGGGAGGTAGATCTGGGAGGGAGGGGGAGGCTGATAGGAGTGGAGGGAGGAGAAGTTGCAGTTGGAATATGCTGTATGAGAGAAGAATAAATCATTTCTTTTTAAGTTTTGTGCTTGCATAACGAACATGGCGCCCCCAAAGCAGAAGCAGTGCAGGGACGAGTCCTCGCCATGTGTAGGAAGGTCATGCAAGGCCTCACACACTTTCTCATGACTTGATTTAATAAGCACTTTTTCTCAAAAATCTACTCCCAAAATATCTTCTAAGGAAGAAAACGCTTCAAATGAAAGAAGCAAATCAAATCCAGATACACACATGGACGGCAGACCTGTGAAAGTTGCTCAAACCGAAGGCTGGGCACGTTTATGCCCTTGGAGGGCGAGAGAACCCCTCAGGATGGAAGGCACCCTGCTCTCACTGGCTGGTGTAACTTTCCTATAACGCAGTTCGGCTGCTCTATTAACACTTAAAATACACGCTCCCCTGGACTCAGCAATTGTTCCCAGGAGTTTATTACCAGACATAATTTGACAACTACTCAGAGATGAAGAGATTGTTTAAAAAAAAAGAAGCAATAACTGATCATATCAGAAAACTTCAGAGACAGAAAAGACATTTATTAACCCCAGCCAACCTCTGCTAGTTACTCCCCAGGGAACTACATAGTAGTGTGCCAAGATCACCTCAGATAAGCTGAGCTGTGTGGTGCAGGCCCAGACAGTGGTGTACCAAGATCATTTCAGATAAGCTGAGCTGTGTGGTAAAGACCTACACAGTAGTGTGCCAGGATCACCTCTGGTAAAGTTAAGCTGTGTGGTGTCATCCCTGCCGTCCCTGCTACACAAGAGACTTAAGACAGGAATACTGTGTTCAAGGCCTACATACACTACATAGAGTATTTTTCTAACTTACCCTTGGCAATTTAGCGAAAACCTGTCTTAACATAAGAAGTAAAGAGAGCACTGAGGATGGAGATCATTGTAGAATGCTTGCCTAGAATGTGCAAGGCCCTGCATCAAATACTAGTACAGCTCCCAAATATAAATATACATATATACGTGCATACATACATATATACATACGTTACATACACACATACACTAGTATCAAATACTAATACTGGTCCCAAATTATATATATTAGCATCAAATACTAGTGCTACTCCCAAATATATAAGCATCATATAATATATATTATATTAATTAGTATCAAATATTAGTACTGCTCCCAAATGCATATACATAAACATACATATATACATATGCACACACTAGCATTAAATACTTGTGCTGCACACACACACACACACACACACACAGCCCTTTGGAAAAGATTTAGGTATATATTTATTTCATCTTTTTGGAAAAAATTTAAGTCTTGGGGGGTGGGCCTCTGCATTTGGCTAGAGGCATCAGGTCTCCCTGGAGCTGGAAGGGTGGTTTTGTGCTGCGGGATGTGGATGCTGGGATCTGAGCATGGGTCCTCTGCAAAAGCAGCATGTGCCCTTAACTGCTTAGCCATCTCTGCAGCCCAACACCAAAATCCATATTTTAAATAGCTTCGATTCATGCTGTCTTAACTCTTCTTGATCCAGTTTTCTTACCGTCAGTGCTAACACAATCAATTCATAGACAGGCAAGTGTGACTTCGCTCTGAATATATATATATATATATATATATATATATATATATATATATATTTACTGGAAACATGAAATCACAGTAGATACTGAAAAAGCTCCCAGCCCAAGACTAGTGGCTGTTTTTTCTTGCTGTCACCAGGGTAATGCTGCATGCCTGTTTTTATGACAGTTATGATCTTAATGGACTTCTGATTTTTCATCCAAAAAACCCACACCAGTTTTCTTAGTTAATGTAGAATAATGCATTTTGCCTGTGCCACGTGGTTGTTTTTTTTTTTTTGACTCTCATTAGTGAACTTCACTGTGACCCCAGGTTTTCACTATTTTGAAGAATGAAAATACCTTCACTTTTAGAGTTGGCTTTCCTTATGTTAGATCCTAGGGCACTTCCAGAAGTGGAGATTACTCCAACTAACAAGATAAACACGGCTCGTAGATAAAGAGCCCTAACATGATGGGCTAGTTTATAACATGCCAGCCAAAAATGTGAGTTGTTGCTCCCCTGAGGTCTTGCTGATGTCCAAACCTCATCGCTACATTATTACTCGTGATAGTTTAAAACCAACTAGAATCTGTGAAGAACCATAGAACTAAAAAGCAAGTTCAGCGTGGTAACAAGGGACAAGATCAATGTAAGAGTGAATCATATCTCTATCATGTGGTCCGCCACACTCAATGACTACGGGACTGGAAATCCCAAGTGCAATACTGTTCCTGAGTGAAGGGAATGAAATCCTGAGGCACGGAGCTGACCCTCTGTGTGCATGAGTTCTGCATTTGCCCACTCAACCTTGGCCTTTGATAGAACAGAAAATTAGGTAGGCCAAGTAGACAGAACAGAATGCTGGGAAGAAGGGAAGTGAGGCAGACGCTACAGCTCTCCTCTGACAGTGCTTTAGAAAACTTTTGTGTCTATGCTCACTGTGGTAGTTTGAATATTATTGGTTCCCATGATCTCATAGGGAGTGGCACTAATAGGAGGTGTGGCTTGTTGGAGTGGGTGTGGCCTTGTTGGAGGAAGTGTGTCACTGTGTGGGAGGGTAGACTTTGATGTTTCTTATGCTCAGGATACTGCCCGGTGTCTCGGTGTCTCATTGTACTTCCTGTTACCTGCAAGGGGTAGAACTCAGCTACACCATGTCTGTCTGCACACTGCCATGCTCCCTGCCACGATGATACTAGACCAGATCTCTTAACTGTAAGCCACTACCTCAATTAAATGTTTTCCTTTGTAAGAGTTGCTGTGGTCTTGGTGCCTCTTCATAGCAATAGAAACCCTAACAAAATATCAGGGACTGGGGTATTGCGGTGATAGGCCTAGCCATGTTTTTGTTTGGAGTAACATGGACTTTGAGAGTTTGGGTTAGGAAAGCAGTGGAATGTTTTAAGGGCGGCTTAAGGAGCCATCCTAGTAGGAGCATGGAAGACAGTGGTGCTGAGTGTGACTTGATGAACTGTGGGGCCTGGCTCTAGAGGTTTCAGAGGAGGAGAGTGTTGGTATGTGGCCTAGAGATTGGTCTTGTGATATTTTGGTGAAGAAAGTAGCTGCTTTTTGCCCTTTTTCTGAAGAGTCTGCCTGAGGTTAAAGTGAAGAGTTTAGATTCATTCCTTTGCTAGAGGAAATCTCAAAACAGTATAGACTGTTTTGTGGTTACTAGGGATAGTTCTAATGAAGATTTATAATGAAATGGAGCAAGCTGAGCAAGGGAAAATACTTCTGGAGAAAAAGAGCACTAGGAAGTGGGATGGAGCTAAATTCTGTGTTCAAGGAGATGAAGAGATAAAGGAATGAAATAATGGGAGCACTGACCTCAGGGCAAGATCCTAACCAGCTAAATTTCCAACTTGTGAAAAGGAATTAAAGGAAACTTTAGAACTGGGTATGGTGGTGTACACTTCCCAGCACTGGGAAGGCAGAGGCTGATGGATCTATGAGTTTGAGGTCAGCCTGGTCTACAGATCCAGTTTCAGGATAGCCAAGCTTAGGTAGTGAAGAAAGGTCAAAAGCAGAAGGTTGGTGAAGATATAATTGAAGGAGGCGGCCATATTCCAGCCCCAGCAAGCAGCAGAACTTGGCAACTTTGGCCACATGGTTCTGGCTTTAGAGTTAAAGATAGAAGAAATGGGTTATGGAATTTACCTCCATGCCTAAAAAAAGCTGCTGAGGCCAGGCTTGTGTCAAGGGCCTAGAGAGGCCATTGTGTGAAGCTGTAAAATTGAAGCCTGGATTGCCTTGGAGACCCCAAGATGTTAGAGAAGCCAGTGTCTTGGGATACCTACCAAGAAGAGCTGCAAACAGGGAGTGGAACCAGCCCAAGAGAAAGAAGTGTGTAGCAGTCAACAGAGCTGAATGGAGTTGGAGATCTGGAGAGCGCTTTGACATGGAGATGCAGAGTTTGGAGTTTTCCCATCTGGCTTTTGGTCTTTTCTTTAGTATTTTCTCACTATGTTTTCTTTCTTGCATTTTGGAATGGTAATGTATATCCTGTGCCATTATATGTTGGAAGTATGTGATCTGCTTTTTGATTTGATTTTTTATAGGTCATTATAGCTAAGAGATTACATGAATCTCAGAAGAGACTTTGAACTTTGGACTTTAAAACATTGTTGAGACTGTGATAGATTATGGGGACTTCTGATGTTGGACTAAATGAATTTTTCATCATAATGTTATTATAAGACTATGGGGCTCAGAGAGTGCAATGTGGTAGTTTGGATGTAATTGGCCCCCATAACTACCTAGAGAGTGGCACTATTAGGAAGTATGGCTTGTTGGAGGAAGTATGGCACTGCTGGGACAGGCTTTGAGGTTTCCTATGCTCAAGATACTACCCAATGTCTCAGTCTACTTCCTGATGCCTGAAAAATGTAGGACTCTCAACTATTTCTTTAGCTACACAAAGCACAGAGGGACCATGTCTTGAAAAATCAAAAACAAAACAACAATAAAACCAATAACATTGATGCATACTTTCGAGGTGACTTATTTTAAAGCATATTGGAGGCCATGCATGCATATGAAGTATTTTGTCATTTTACCTAAGGAACCCAAATCCCTTATATCTTTGGGATTTGGCATCTGACAGGGTCCTGAAACCTGTCACCCAGTGATATCAAGGGATGACTGTGCACCTAACAAAGTGTGGTGCTAAACATTATCAAGGGGAGTTGAGAGAAGTCAGAAGTGGTCCAGGGAAGGGGACTGAATTTTTGGATTGGAATGCTCAGTTGTAGGTGAGCAGTCTTTCCAGGTTGTTGTATGGGTTTAATGTGGTTTTTATAGAATCCCAGCAATGGTTTTTGAAGGTAAAGATGACTCATTATGAAATGCACATGGAAAATCACAGGCCCCAGGAATGAACCCCTGTGCATTAATTAATAATGTGGGAATGGTACTCTTCCAGATTTTTCAGTTCACTTGAGGGCTGCTGTCGTGGGCAGCATGGCATTGGGAGATCAGCACACAGATTAAGGGGACATAATAGAGAACCTAGAGATAGATACACATAATTATGTCCAACTGAATTTTTTTTGGGGGGTGGGGTTCGAGACAGGGTTTCTTTGTAACTTTGGAGCCTGTCCTGGAACTAGCTTTTGTAGACCAGGCTAGCCTCGAACTCACAGAGATCCACCTGCCTCTATCTCCCGAGTGCTGAGATTAAAGGCGTGCGCCACCACCGCCCGGCTAACTGAATTGTTTTTATTCCAGTATGGGAGTTGAACCATGGCCTCACATATGACATATAACTCTCTACAACTGTGTTACACCCTCACCATTTTCTAACATATATATTATTACTAAAGTGCAAGAGGAAAAATGGACTGGAGCAACTGAACACACATAAGAAAAAAAAAAACGGCCATAAGAAAAAACCAGAGAAGAGACCTTGACCCAAACTCATTGTGGTACAACAATGACCGGAGCGTAGGTGTCTTTCCAACAGTTAAGTCTGCTGGCCTAAAGGCCTCCAAAGTATTGATTAACTAGTACAATCTGGAGCCCCTAGTACTTGGCATCACCACCAGAAGACTGGGTACTGGAAGTACTCCCTTGGTCTTATGGTCAGCTTCAGAGCTCACTGATAAGTTCCTGGGCAAGGAGTACCCAGATTCCTCTGTCCAACTCTGCCTATCCTTATGTAATAGCCAGAGAAGGGTCCCAGCTATCAGCCAAACCCTTTCCATCATAATTTCTCTAGAACAACTTGAAATGTGTAGGCATCTCATGGTTGGGAGCTGTGGGGCACGACCCAAGAATGTAGCAAACTGGTATGATATCACCTTCTAACCACACTTCACCAAACCCCAGAGAAACTTCTGATGGCTCTTGGAGTAACCCAAGGAGGGGCATGATCATTTTTGAATCCCATGATCACAGAGACTTGGGGCTCCTTCTCTAAAGGATGGCTTCTTCCTGCCTCTCTTAGACGTTAACTCTGTACTGGAGGCAAGGATTAACTGTGGTTGGGCATGGGATGTCATGAGTTATATGACAACTAAGCTGTCCCTATGAGTCTGGATCAAGTCCCCAAGAAAGAGATTCTCTGAACCCCAGTCCTCTTATTCCTTTGATGCTGGGGTACATCTGCTTGTCTAATACCCATCCTTCAAGCCAGGTCAGTACCACAGAGGTTCTAATGTGTTTAGGAATCTGGCCTTTCACATCTGCCTTTCAGAACTGTCAAGCTTATGACGTCCAGTTTATCCTCTGCTCAGGCTGTCCTTGGAAGCCTGTTAGTCCAGCTTGCCCCCTGCTGATGGAGGGGATCGGTCACAGTCGCCTGGAACAGATGCTCAGGAGTGAACACTGCAGTCACGTCCTAGAACCTCATCAAGTTGAGACATTTATAAATGGATACTCACGTGCTAAACCCCCTGAGCATCACAGCTCAGCCTCACCTGCTGTGAACACGCTCAGAGTACACAAACCCACAGCAGCCTATGGTTGAGTACAACTGTCTAATTCAAAGCCTCGTTCATAGGAGTGTGATGATCAGTCACGCAGTTTACTGAAAATATAAAATCCCAGAGTTGAAAGCAGTTTCCACTGAACAGCACATCACTTTCCTACCACCATAAAGTAAAAAATCCTGAGTCAGATTATCGAGTGCCAGGAACTAAATATTCCTCCTTGGTCCTAACAGAGTGAGCCTCAAGCTGAGTAGTATTTTTCATCAAATTCACATCCTCAAGTGACAGAGAAAGGACACCAAGGGAGGAGGTGACCAAATATCTGTCCCAGAGAAAGTGGGAGCTCTCCTGGGGACACAACGTACTGGATCTAGGTTGGGGAAGAAGGTTGTGGCTAAGGTACCATGCTACATACAGAGAGAGAAGAGGGGTGGGAAGAGGTGGGGAGAAGGAAACAGGAGGAAAGAGACATCCTTGGAAAACACACAAGCAGTGTTTCGAACCGAGAGGGGTATGATTACCTGGTGTGCTGAAGCCAGCAGCTGTGTTGGGGTCCCCGGAACTGGAGTCGGCCACCTGGTGATCGACACTTGGAACCTATAGCGAGAAACACGCGGCATTACCCTTGCTCAGGAGAACACCTGCCCAGGCAACCTCCGGTAACACAGCCAGTCCTCTGAAATTCCTTTGATGCAGTCAACACAGATTCCAAATTATCAGGGCAAAGCTTTCCAGAAAGTTCCAAAGGGTGAAGTAGGAATCTCTGTGTACCGTCAACTATGTGAATTCATGGGGATGCATCTGTTAGGCTTGAAGTACGAGGGAGAGCGTGCAGGTTCTGTGCAAACAGCACTCTATTTTATGCAAGGGCGCTTGAGCATGGGTGGACTTTGGCATCTGGGGAGCATCCTGGAACAAATACTCTGAGGAACAACTGTGTATTTTATGAGGTGGGTGTATGTGAGAATCGAGAATTCAAGTCATCATTGCAGAGACTGAAGCCCATTTCTCTGGCCTTCTGCACCCAGAGTACCTTCCGGGGCACTGGCATACACTGAGTCTATCCACCTTCTACGAGGACCAAGACAGGTTTGCTGGATAATTTTGTCCACTTGACACAGGCTAGAGTCATCAAGAGGAGGGAACCTTCTTTGAGAAAACACCTCCTTAAGATCAGGCTGTAGACAAGCCTACATAGTGCGTTTTTTATAGTTAGTAATTGATAGGGGAGGTCCCAGTTAATTGTGGGTGGTGTAATCCCTGGGCTGGGTGGTCCTGGGTTCTGTAAGAAAGCAGGCTGAGCAAGCCAGGAGGAGTAAGCCAGTAAGCAGCACCCACCCCCTCCATGGCCTATGCATCAGCTGCTGTCTCCGGGTTCCTGCTTTGAGTTCCTTTGATGATGTACAGTGATATGGAAGGGTGAGCCAAACAAACCCTTTCCTCTCCAACTTGCTTCTGGTCATGGTGTTTCATTACAGCAATAGTGACCTTAACGAAGACAAAAGACCAGAGGATCCTCCATGGTCATGGTGGGATGTAAGACAGTCCCTACTCCAAAATGTCTTCTTTCACTTTTTCCTTGAGGTTCCAGGAAGAATAAACCATGGGACAAATGGTCATGAGACCTGACTTGCTTCACCCCAGCATGGCTAGGGCATGGAATGCGTATGGAATAAATGGCTGGATCCCAAGTGAACTCCCAGCCTACCGTTGACTAGCTTACACTTTTTCTTCCTTTTGTTACCTTGCACTCTGAATGAACAGGAAGCTCCTGGGATACTCTCCTGGCTGAGCTTTAGGTTACAGTCCAGGTGCACACAGGGAGGGGGTGCCAGTCTGACTGCCAATTCACAGTGTAACAGCAATGACATACCATTAAGAGCCACCCTGGCTTGGTGGAATGTGGACTTGGCGTGTTCTCTTCAAGTTTAGGTCAGGGAGATTCTACCACTCTCCTCCTGGACTGCCTTCGTTGGGGTTTCTATTGCTGTGACCAAACACCATGACAAAACGCAAACTGGGGAAGAAAGGGTTTATTTGGCTTATACTTCATATTACTGTTTATTCCTGAAGGGAGTCAGGACAGGAACTCAAACAGGGCAGGATTCTGGAGGCAGGAGCTGATGCAGAGGCCACGGAGGGATGCTGCTTACTGGCTTGCTCTCAATGGCTTGCTCAACCTGATTTTATATATATATATTCCAGGATCGCCAGCCCAGAGATGACACCACCCACAATGGGCTGGGCCCTCCCCCACTGATCACTAATGGAGAAAATAACTTACAGCTGGATCTCATGGAGGCATTTCCTCAACTGAGGCTCCTTCCTCTCTGATGACCCTAACTTGTTTCAGAACCAGTCAGAATGTGGAATGGCTCCGATCTGGAGAGGCCTCAGGAAACAGGACACAGGGGGCTGAGCCCCAAGTCCTCCTGCTCCACATCAGCCTGCTTGGGCTGTGTGTGATGCAATTTCTTCCACAACAGGCACAACTCTTCCAGCTCTGCTTCAGGCATCTGGCATAGGCCCTGGACGATGTGAGACGTGGCACACCCTGTCCATGTGCCACATTGGCGCCTACCCCTTCGCCAATTCAGGAAACAATATCTGACTTCTTGTGTTATTTTCAGAATTGCTTTGGGGACACACTGGCAAGTAATGAGCTCAAGAAGAGACTGGCGAAGGTGAGGCGAGCCCCTGCGGCTTGGTCCGATTCCAGCTCAGGTAATTACATTCCTGCCTTCCGTGACGCCAGCCACTTCAATCAGAGAGCCGATATTCTGCAAGCTATGGTGGAGCTAGGGCAGGTGACCCAGCTGTGGTACCAACACAAAGGGTGTAAGCTGCTGCCTGTTGTGGTGGCGGGGAAGCGAGGCGCTGAGGAGAGCTGGAAACCAAGCTATCGCCAGGGAGGAGAGCAGCCTCCGTGCGGCATTTCATCCCACTGATAGGCTTTGGAGCAGCAGCACACATGCTATTCTCCTTCCTAAGCCCCCAGGAGTGCTGGGGAGGGAACCGAGGGAGAGAGAATTCATGCCACCCTTGTGTCTACACACACCTTTCCCCCTAAGGTATTCACTACACGCCCGTAACCAATTGTGAAAATGTCTGCCAAGAATCTTCCACTAAATAACAGAAAGAAACTGCCTAAAGGGCTATTTCATTCCAGAAGTCTCTCTCCAATATCTAACCCCATATATATGTATATGTATGTGTGTGTGCGCGTGTGTGCATGTATATACATACATATATATATATATACACACACATATATATGTATGGAGGATGGGGAAGGAAAGAGAAACTTAGAAACCCGCTGCTTGAGAAAGCAAGCTTTGGCAATAAAGAAATATAAATAAAACAAGAGAAATAGAATCCACAAAGGGACAAGGTCAAGAGGAAATTGGATTTGCTTCATATTCTGCAGGGCATCACTCACTTCCCTCTGGCTCCCGTATTCAAGCACCAGGAAATGTAGTTTGGAAAAGAGATGGCTCCTGGGAGCGCATCTGTCACTTCTGAGTAGAGTGTTAGGGGTTTAATTTGAATCTGATGGCAGAGGCCACCTCAGTGCACAGAACTGTGGGGGAAATGGCCATTTGGCTCAGCGGCACTCCAGAGGCAGAAAAGGGGACAGACAACTGTGGCATGAATCTAAACTGAGATTTGAGTTCTGCCACTAAGGCTCATAAACAGGGATCCTGGCAGGATGAAGAGTGTGAGGATTGCGAGAGACAGGCTTCCTACATAACTTGCTCCGGACACCCCAAGCCACGGGAGACCGGTGGTTTGAATGAGACATGTCTACCATACTCTTGGGCATATGCCCAGTTGGTGGCACTGTTGGGGAAGCTTAAGAGGTGTGGTTTTGCTGGAGGAAGTATGTCACGGGGGCGGACGTTGGAGAGCAAACACCGTGCTACTTCTAGTTCTTTCTCTTGGTCTCTGTTTCTGTCTCTACTGCTGTCTGTCTGCCTCTCTCTCTCTCTCTTTCTGATTTGCTACTGCAGCTGCCATGCCTGCCACCTCTCCACCATGACGGACGTCTATAAGCTGACCTGGTCAGGATGCTTCATCAATGCTACAGAGAAACAAACAAGGGAAGGGACAGCACCTGGAACTTGCTGGCTCTGAGATGCTACTTGGACCAGTTGTCATAACTGAAGGATCAACTGGAATTTAGGCAGATGGGCTCTGTGGGGGAACCCTGCATGGGAATTCTGCCCATTTCTGTGATGTGTTTCTCACTCCTGGATGAAGCCAACCATCTAGTACCACGTTCATGAAAAGCTACGGTTTGGGGGCAATTATCAGCTGTCATGGAGAATGAGGGTTTTATATATTCAAGGTCATTTTTGAAACACTTCACTTGCAAGTTTTAAAATGTAGAGGTCATTTCCTTTAAAATACAATTTATAGGACCCACAGCTGGTGATACTATGCCTGCCCATCTCCTTTCTCGTAACTTCCAGTATCGTAATAGACTTCCCTTCCTAGCTGAACTGCTACCCGGTCAACTACTGGTTGAGCCAACCTAGATACTGAATTTATCAAAGTCTCTTCCAGTTTGGCATGCAAGGTCAGAAAACCTACACCCAGTGCTATAGCAGATGCCCCCATCCCCCCGGCCCACCTCTGCATGCTATACTCCCCCCCCCCGCCCACCCCTGCATGCTGCACTCCCCCACCCTGCCCACCTCTGAATGCTGCACCCACCCACCTCTGAATGCTGCACCCACCCACCCACCTCTGCATGCTGCACTCCTCCCACCCCTGCATGCTGCACTCCCCCACCCCACCCACCCCTGCATGCTCCACTCCCCCACCCCACCCACCTCTGAATGCTGCACCCACCCACCTCTGAATGCTGCACCCACCCACCTCTGCATGCTGCACTCCCCCACCCTGCCCACCTCTGCATGCTGCACTCCCCCTACCCCGCCCACTTCTGCATGCTGCACTCCCCCCACCCCCGCCCACCTCTGTATGCTTCACTCCCCCCACCCCCGCCCACCTCTGCATGCTGCACTCCCCCCACCCCCACCCACCTCTGTATGCTTCACTCCCCCCACCCCACCCACCTCTGCATGCTGCACTCCCCCTACCTGGCCCACCTCTGTATGCTTCACTCCCCCCACCCCTACCCACCTCTGCATGCTGCACTCCCCCACCCCACCCACCTCTGCATGCTGCACTCCCCCACCCCACCCACCTCTGCATGCTGCACTCCCCCACCCCACCCACCTCTGCATGCTGCACTCCCCCACCCCACCCACCTCTGCATGCTGCACTCCCCCACCCCACCCACCTCTGCATGCTGCACTCCCCCACCCCACCCACCTCTGCATGCTGCACTCCCCCACCCCACCCACCTCTGCATGCTGCACTCCCCCACCCCACCCACCTCTGCATGCTGCACTCCACCAGGACCACCTTCCTTGTTTCCCTCACACCACAGCCCTATCCAGATGGCCAGGTACAATTCTTCCCTAAAGTCCCAGGGAAGGTGAACTGTCCCTGTCCCGTCATCACAAGGATTGTCAACGCCACGAAGCAGTAGACTCATGTTTTTATACCCCGCAGCTAAGAAGCATAGCCACCAGTGAGCCCTGGAATGTGAGTCTGTATCTAGTCAGGAACGTCAAGTGAGCAATTCTCAGTAACGTTGCCGCCCCTGCTAGAGGTTCGCCTCTGTGACATTGCTGTGGAGCACAGCCTGAAGTTGTGGGAAAGAACGACATCTGTACCTAAGACCAAGGAAGGGAATAGGTCTGAATGGGCATCCCCAGTCAGACGACTGAAAACAGCCTCTTGGGTGCACACTTGGCATCTCGGTTATTCTGGAGGCTGGAGAGGAACGCTCCATCGAGGCTAGGAGTTCAGGGCCAATCTGAACAACACAGACTGACCCTGTATCAGAAAAAAAAAAAAATCTTCGCAATGGCTGCCGTCTCTTACTCCCCTGCCGTCTGTATGTTGTCACGTCAGCCCTGTCCCTCTATCGGGTTTGCTCCACTCTAGCCGGTGCTGATAGGCAATTTATAAACCCTCTGGCGTGCAGGGGCAAGCAATTAACCGCCCCCTCATCCAGGGAAAGCGCTCATGCTGTGAAGGGGCAGCTCCTTGATGCCTGGTCAAGGGAGATGGACCACCCCGGAGGAGGGGGCAGGTGGCTGATGCAGCCTTCCCTCTGTGGTTGGTAATAGGTTTCCCTCACTTCCGGACTCCCAGAGATGTCTGTGGAATTGAAAAGTGCCCTGACACCTGAGCATCAAAGAAAATGGGCCTGGGAGCTGCGGGTCCTTAATCAACAGATGTGTCCCTGTTATACAGGTGGCCTGGAGAGGGGCCACAGGACATGTCACACACATACCTGGCTGGCTCCAGAGCAAATTGAGTTTGTGCCAGTACCTGCAGGGGGCAGACTTCAGAGCTTTGACCTTCAGCCCTCCTTACCCAGGTTCTCTGAGAGAAATCATGGAAGGCAGCATTTTCCAGTGCCTTTGGGAGAACAGTGTCATATTGATCCCAGAACCATACATTAGCCTGAAATATATTGCATTCTTCAGGGAAAGAGAAAATTGGTGATGAAACATGAATCAATATCCTTCTCGTGTACAGTGTGGAGTGGGGGCACTAAACATTATACTCAAAGTCTGTAGCGACAGCCTGCACCTGCACTTGGGCCTTGCAAGGCTAGCATGGGGCTCCTGGAGAAAGGATCTTACTGTGAAGCCAAGGCTCTGACAGGGCGGTGCCCCAGCCCTGATACTGTCCACAAGGAAGGGCCCACAGAATCATGATCTATCCACCCAGCCTCCTCTTCTAAAAACACTAGTACTATCTCACAAAGGGAAACAAAAAAGTGGTTCCCTAGCACAAAACTAGAATTCTCTGATAGCAGCAAGCAGGCTTGCTGGAGAGTGGGAAATGACAGAGCTTCCCGCCCAAGGCAGCAACGAAATTAACATACTACTGCAGATATGGCTTTGAGGCCCCTGCTTCCCAGGATGGGGTTGCCCATCTGCACCCCATCATCACCTCTTCACTTCTTGGTGTCTATCACCAATGGAGGAGCTTGCTCTGGTTCTAGTGCACTCTCCTCTGGGTCCTGCCATGTGGGTTTGGTGATGTTCTCCCCCAAGTAGGCCTGGTACCACACTTGCCTCTAAGATCCATCATGTTAATGTCACCGTCTTCACCACAAACCTTGACACAGTAATCTACCCCAGTTCTCAAAGTGAGTTCTAGTAACTCCTGGGAATGGACCCAGGATTGGGATTTGATTGACAAGGTTTTGTGGGACTGGGGGATACCCGCTGGAATCTACAACCCATTCTCAGACCCTCCCTGGATGCCCGAATACAAGCTAAGCACCTCTGAGAGCTAAAGCCTGTCATCACAATCGACAGCTTCACTATTTTTATTGTAAATGGAAAGGTAAACCTCATTGCTAAGTTGCAGGACCCTGCTCAGCTTGGAAGGTCTAGGCAAACGGCTGTCCAAGCTGAGAGATTACAGGATCTCTCCTTTACTGAGTCTCTAAGCAGCCTTCCTCCCAGGCATTTCCTACACAGTGACTTTTACCATGCACACAAAAGAGGCCAAAATCTGGAGTCTGGAGCTGCCATCTGCAGCCACTCAGGGAGTGGGCACAGAGACATTATTCAAGGATCCTCTGGTTGTGTCAGGGCAGGCGGGATTCACCAGGCTGACCCAATATGAAGGGAGTCTCCCTTTGCCAAATGTATCTTTTTTCTTCGATGCCAACAGCCCGAACATTGCCTGTGCGTCTCTCTGATCACTGCACGCATGCACCCTGCTGTCTTTGCCTGTCCCCTGACTCAGCCTACAGAAAGTGACCCACCTTCGTGGCTCTGATTATCCTTGAGGCTGAGCCGCTACAGTGGACAGACAGCACTCCACAAACAGATATTCTTCATCGGCCCCACAGCTGAGGGGTGGCTGAGGTTAAACACCAGTAACCCTAATTTTCCTCCACCCCTGCGTGTCGTTCTGATGTCCAAGGTGCAGGGTCAGAGCTTGAGGTGATATCAAAAATCTGAGCCCTGCACCAGGGCTATCATGCAGGGGTCAGTCAGTAGGAAAACGGGAGTAGAGTGCAGACATAGCTCAAGCGCCCTGGAGAGCCTCCACATTGTGGTATTATCCAGCTCCATGACTTGTGCCTGGGACGGTAATTAGCACATACCTGACTACCATGTCCCCATCTTTGCCTCAATCCCTACAGCCTCCACTTAAGGCCTCCCTGGCCCCATGACCTCACCTCTCTGCCTTACTACAGATTTCACACTCAACAAGGACAACAACAATAACGGCTAATATATAAAAAAATGCTATCAAAATATGCCCAGAGACTCCTCCGACTTCAGGATTTACCACGTTCCTAGTCTTCTTCTGAATCAGCATCATTCCCTTTCAGCCAATGAACTTGATACTAATGCGATTTTTTTCCCTCATCATTTGTCAGTGAGGAAAGCAAGGCTTTACAGACATACTCAAAGCGCCTGCTCATGGTTGGGAAACATGCAGTAATAGGAGCTGGCACACACAGCTCAGAGAAGGCCTCACAGCCGGCAAGTAGAGACACATCGCTGGCCTGGGGCTGCCTGACCCCTTACAGACAATCATGTCTGCAGCGATGACCAATACAGGTCTTGGTCCCCTGAGTCCTCAGTCCCCAAGTCCAGCTCCCCCTGCTCTGGTCACGAGTTAGAAGCTGTCCCAGCTCCTTCTACATTCTCTCCAGACACACTGGGCAGCATGGGACATGGACAAATCTGAGTTGGGCTGTGTGTCTGCCTGTAGGAGTTAAGCTGAGTATCCAAAAGGGCGAGTTCACATATTGATGTGCCCAGGCTTGGGTTGGACTCAGCCTCCTGCAGTGTACGCAAGGCTCACACATTGCACAGTACATGCAGAAGCTTCATCACAGGGCAATGGCTGGTGTCGGCGACACCATCAGCACTTTCTGAGGACAGGCCAAGTGTGGTGTGCAGAGGAGCTGATCTTGTCAGGGCCCAGGCCTCACCTGGCTGGCAGGCGTCTGACCCACCACGGCCTCATATGGTGGGGGCAGCTCAGCAGGATACAGCATGCCAGGGCTGTTAATGGCGACATCGTATATGGTGCTGAAGGGGGAGGAAGCGAAGTCCAGGTGGAGGCCCCTAGAAAACAGGACAGCCCATCACATGGTCATCCCCCGGAGGACAGAACCAGAGTCTGACATTTCTCTTCAAGTGTTGACTATCTAATACTTGTCATGGTGAAGATAAAAGCCTGAGTCACGGGGTAGGCTTAACTTTGCTCTTTCTTCTGAAAGATGCCCGTATTTCATTGGCCACTTAAGCTCTGTCTCCTATAATTAAGACAGTGATAAAGCTGATGAGATTTCTAATTAATGTTCCATGCTCTGTGACAACTGTCACTCAGGAGCAACTCTGCACGCAGAAGAATACAACAGAGTTCATTATTGGCCTACAGTGTCATTTCAGGTGACACCGCAAAGACACAAACGGAAATCTTCCGTTCAAGTCAGGCCTTGAGTTGCTTGCCTGTAATTCTAGCACTTGGGACAACGAGACAGGAGCATGGTGAGTATGAGGCCATCTGGGGCTACCTAGGGCGTTCAAAGCCACCCTGGCTGTACTGTGAGGCTGTCAACAACAACAAAATACAAATGGAATGCAGTTAACCCATCACCACCACCAAAACCCCAGTGAACAAAAATAAGAAAAGAAATACTGTATTTCCAGGTCACATGGCCTTTCTTCATTGCCTACCCTTGTAAGGCTCATGTCTCTGTACTGGCTTTTATTCTGTTCCCCTCCACACCTCTCTCTCCCCTGCCATCACCACTTCCTCCTCCAAAAGACGCTTCCTGTCGGTGGCTTCTCACGCATCATGGGACACAGGACACTGAGAGGAAGACTGACCTGTGGGCCTCCGCTGTGGGCGTACAGGTGTATTCTGGAGGGTAGTAGGGTGGAGGCGGGAGGGGGGCAATGAACTCATCGAAGTCTAGGGTCTGGTGGAGAATGGTGCCATGTGGAGTCACGCAGGCAGCACTGGCCGAGTGGGACCTCTGTGGGAAGAACTAGAGAGAGAGAGAGAAGCAGCGTTATCCCAGAGCTGGTGTGGCTGGCGGCTAAGGGAGCTAACTGCAAACACAATACCTATCACGGTTTAGGCTGCCAAGCCATGACTGTTAAACACACCCTGTACAGAGGATAGCTCTGACCTTGCTCTGCTCCACTTCCTGTACTGCTATGCAGGATGCCTCTGGGGTGTGTGTGTGTGTGTGTGTGTGTGTTAAAGAGCTGGGAAGTCTTTAATGCAGATTCTTACTGTGAACCTTCACTCCTATGACGCTGATGCCTTAACCCTGCAGTCAAAAGGACACTTGTCACTCGTCCTTTCACACAGCACCAGCAAGTCCCCATCACAGTGTGTACTGGGTACACGCCCTATACCTAAGTCCCTTCTCCAAGTCTTGCAAAGTGCTTCAGGCCTGCACTGTGAGCCCAGCCTGTCTCACACGCTTCCTTAAAGTTCACTATGGGCCCTATGAACACTAATATATAGGGATCCACACACTTTGTAGGACATTGCCCCCAAAGGTGAAGAAAGCCCACCTTGAGCTCCAGAATATTCTGTGGGGGCAACTATGAATACTGGGTGCTACTTAAAATTATCAAGGGAAACATATTTTAATAAAAACAAATGCTCTCTGCCTGCATTTCTGTTTCTAAAGTATTAACCAACACTTGTTTCTCTCTCCATTCTCGGGGCACTCCTACCAGTTCTACGGAAATGCCCGAGACACTGCTTCATCTATAGGCATAAAATGATCCACACTGTATGGGCCCCGGGGCCTTTCCCAGAGCGTGTCAGCAAGGTAAGAGAAAAGAGACAAACACCAAGAATCACAAGTGCACAGTTAAACACAGCAGCTTCGTTAGCAACTACAGCCCTCCAATCAGTGTGGGACAGGGCATCTGTCGAGCATCTGTGAGGCAGGTGAGATCTAACTGGGCTGAAGACGGGTGGGACTCCAGGCTCTAAAGCAGATGGCCAGCAAGTGATGTGTTTCAGAAGAAGGAAAAAAATGAGGGTCTGTCTGGTCAATTCTTAAGTCTGGGGATTTGCAGGAGCCATTGAGGATGTTGGAGTTGGGTGGCAGGGAACCACCTAGTGGTGGCAGGGATAGGGTGGGCTCATCCAGACAGGGGGACAAGCAGTTAGAGAATTTCTGCACTTGCAGGGCTGAGACCAAGGTTCAGAATATGGTCCAATGCAGTGAAATCAGTATGCTCTGGGCTGATGGCTACATCAGAATGAGGGACGCATGGACTCAGAAATGGCTACCGCCAGCCTTCCCAACACAGAGCACATTCCCTGCCCTTCCAGTTAGGCTGACTGGTTGCTGTTTCCCTAGTTGCTGGAAATTAGAGGGGAATTGCTGGCTGTGAGCTGGTTGGATGTATGCGGTCATCCTCTGCTTCAGAAGCTATTAATCCCTGTGCTTGCTGCTCGATAGCTAGATAGCTAGGCGGCGAGGGGAGGGCAGATGTTCTGGGGGTCCAGTGAGGAACTATTTTGAATTAGTCTCTATCAGAAATGAGAAGAACCAATTGTATACTCAAGCAAAACTCATGAAATGCAAAAGCATTCAACACCAGCAGCCTGACACAAGTTAGAAGACAGTGCCTCCTCTCTGAGCACAACTTTGTCTCTGCTGGGGACCGCTGCTTTCTTTCAGAAGTCGCCTTGGTCATGGAGTTCTAATCCCAGCAACAGAAAAGTAACAAATAATGCTGTCAGCCTGCCTGTGTTTTATCCCCCTGTTCTTTCCTGAATGGGGCACAATACATGCTCAGCCAACCATCAACGGAGTGGATGGATGGATGGATGGATGGATGGATGGACACCTTTCTGCTGCAGTGCCCTTGCTCTTCTGCCCCCGCAGAAGCAGCCAACGGAGCAGTGAAGGAGCAAGCTGCCCGGCCTCTGCTCCTGGCATGTGGGCTCCATCTTCTGTAGGAGCTATTTTTAGAGCAGCCCAGAAGAGCTCGTGCTGCTGGAAAATCTCTTGCCATCAAGACCTCTGTGCACTGAATCCCATCCACTTTCCGGCTGCCTTCCAACCAGTGCCAACCACCCCCTGCTCAGAACAAGGTCGGCTCAGCCACCCTCCACACCATACGTACTTTGTTTCCTCTTCCTGGCAACTTAACCCCTTCTCAGCTGGCAACCTGCCAGTCCTCCCTCCATGTTCGTGACTGGAAGGCCTGTCTGCCAGCCTGCACTCAGGATTCACGCTCTGGGGCCTCATGTCTACACCTTCATGGTCAGGTATAAAGCACAATTCTACAGCTCCTGGAGAGGGTAGAAACTCCTGTGTGGTTCTGTCTTCCCTGGGCAGTCGAAACCACACGGAGTCAGCAGCACAGCTGTGTGTGGAAACCGGCCGAGCTGCTTACACGTTCTCCCTCCCCACCAGGGTTTGTCACTCATACGATAGCAGTGTGCACCTGAGACTTTATGTCCTGTCTGTTATGGGAGGGGGGGCTTCTTCCAGGAACACCTGGAAGCGAGGGGCACTGAGAGCTGCCGTTACTTGACCCTGGGTAGCTTCCCAAGGCACACAACATGGAGCCCCTAAAATCTGGCTCAGCTCTTACAGTCTGGCTTCTGCAGTCTGGAAGAGACCATGAAGAGGTTAATGCACCTCAGACACTGAGCGGCCACTGAGACTCTCGTGACTTTGCACCTTAGTGACCTATTAATCTCAGCGTCCTGGTGTCACCAGGATTGTAACATGAAATGCCACCCCGTGTCACAGATCCACACAGCGGTGTCAGAAGGCTCAAATGAAGGCCTCTGTGATGGCCATTATCTCTCTTGTCTCTGTGCTTTATCTTCTGCGGGGGAACAGGATGGAGGGCAGGCTTGGGCAGCAAGGGTCTGGGTGCCTCTGCAAGGTTTGCCCGATGCCTGGCTCACTGCCTTCCCTGCCCCCAGCTTCCTCCCGGCATTCTGGCTCTTTGGGTGACTGTTAAACTCCTGGGGTGAGTCACGACTTTGAGTGTCCTGCACACCTTCCAGCTGCACGCTTGCTGTTATCAGGGCCTGTGCACACCCATCTGCACACCCAACTGGCTCTGCTTAGTGAGACACGTGAGCAGACGTGAGCAGATCGGGCGCTCGGATGGGATGACTGTGTAACAGCTGTGGCTGCTTCCGAGGCTAAGGTGGCAGCGAGGGACGTGGGGAGGAGAGTGATGCAGTGGAAAGGAGGGAAATGAGATTACATTTAAAAACAAAGCTAGAAACGACAGGAGAGGCACTTAGAAGGCAAAGCACCGTCTTCACCGTGCTGTGTCAATAAGCGGAACTGCATCACTGCACAGTTACTATTTCTGCGCATGTTAGAAGCGCTGGGCTTTAGCGGTTCCAACAATAGGAGTAACATTTGCCGTCTCATGCATTCATGATGTTAGTTCCAACTGCGGCTAATTATCCCCAATATGGATGCGTTCGAATTATAAGATGTGGGTACTTAGACTCCTAAAGCCCTTAGAGTACGGCTGAGTCCCGGCTGTGGTCATGACCTTGAGTTGCCTGTCTCCGTGAGCCAACTAGAGACCCGCCTGGTAACTCCTACAGTAAACCAAGGAGGCCACAGAGCAAATGGGTGAAATGTGTCAGCCCATGATACCAAGTTGGGGCTCTTCTGAAAAGTCAGTGTCACAGTTACATATGAGCCGCAGCAGAAATGGCTGGGGTTTCATCTGCTAACTCTCCAGGGTAAAGTGAACATGGCATTATGGCAGAATGAGTGCCCATGGATGGTTCATGGCTGCCTTCCCTGCATGGCTGCCCCTGAGGTGGTACTGGAGGATGCTCTCCTTTGACGTCAGGTAGGAGAACCAAGACAGGGTTGTGCCGGATAGCTTTATGTCACCTTGACACGAGTTAAAGTCACCTGAGGGGAGGGCTCCTCTATTGAAAAAATGCCTCCACAACTTTGGGCTGCAAGCAGGCCTGTAAGGCATTTTCTTAATTAGTGATTTATGGGGGAGGGCCCAGCCCATGGTGGGTGGTGTCATCCCTGGGCTGGTGGTCCTGGGTTCTGTAAGAAAGCAGGCCTAGCAAAGGCATGGGGAGCAAGCCAGTAAGCAGCACCCCTCCATGACCTCTGCATCAGCTCCTGCCTGCAGGTTCCTGCCCTGTCCTGTTCCTGTCCTGACTTCCTTCAGTGGCAGACTACATTATGGGAGTGCAAGCCAAACAAACCCTTTCCTCTTTGGCTTGCTTTCCGGTCATGGTGTTTTGTCACAGGGTTAGAAACCAGAGCTAAGACAAGGGCCCAGACTATGGTGCTAGGAATAGGCTTTACCCTCTCGGCCCACCATCCCTGTGTGGAGAGTTACTCAGGAAGGTATGTAAGTGTGGCAGCAGGAGCTGGGTGCGTGCATCAGGAGTGCCCCGCAGTGTTCTCTGAAAACAGCCTTGTGTGTGGTTATGAGGTATGGGCCAACGGGAGGTTGCACACATGCTGGTGGGGGCTGCTCGCCAGTAGCGACCTTGTCATGAATTCGTGCTTCTTAGAGGAGCTGTGGTTGTGGTATGAAACTTACCAAACATGTACAAGACCAGGAATTCAATCTCTAGTACCACACAGACACATATACACACACATGCACACACACACAGATATACACATATACACACTCATACAGTCACATAGACACACACACACACATAGATACACATTCATACAGTCACATAGACAGACACACACACACATGCACACATACATTCACACAGACACACACAGATACAAATACACACTCTCATACAGTCACATAGACACATACACATGCACACATACACACACACATAGATACACACTCATACAGTCACATAGACACAGACACACACTTCTCACTTTGAGAATCTCAAATAAAAATAACAGAAGAATGACTGGTCAGTAACATGAGCCACAACTGAGCTCAACAAATGGAAATGCAGCCAGAATTGAGATGTCAAAACAAGTTACAGTAACACTGAGGTCGTGGTGAGTGGCACGTCACAGAACTGTAGCAGAGATTTCGTAGGATCCAGTGGGATTATGCTTCAGACACTGACAAACTGATTCCGAAATTCACAGGGAACGACAAGGGGATGGAATTTTCACAACCAGCTTGAGAACAAAGGAAACTGGAGGAGTCTCACTCCCATTTTAAAAGGGACTATAAGGGGGCAAGCAAGGCTCTGTGGAATTGCTGTAAAGGTAGACACGAAGGCTGATGAAACAGAACTGAGAGGCTCTAGATAAACCCATCTGTGGTCAGCTGTTGACCACCAGTGACATGGAGCCAACTCCATGCCTTAATCTTTGCATTTCAACAAATGGTGCCAGGAACCACACAAAACTGGACCGCCCCCACAATGTACATTGCAACCAACTCAAGATGTTCCTCAACGCCAAACTCAGACTGCAAAACTCTCAGGAGGAATAATTTTATTTCCTTGGGAGACAGGATACCAAAAGCAGAAGCAGGAATGGAAAAAAGAGACACACTGGGCATCACTGAAACGAAAGTGTTATGGTTTGGGAGCTACCACCAAGGGTCAAGATGATCACCAGGACAGGCGAAAACACATGCACACCACACATCTGAGGAGAGACCTGTATATCCAGAGAACACAGAGAACTCCATGACTCAGCAAGAAGAGACAATTCCAGTTTTGAAAATGGGCAAAGTCGGTTTGTTCCTTCACAGAAGATCTATAAGTAGCCATTAGACACACAGGAAGAGAACCACCATCATTAATCACTGGAAAAGGCAAATCTAAACTACAATGGAACACCACCTCCCAACCACTAGGCTGGAGAAGGGGCAGGGACGAAAGGCACCTATTTTTATGCAGTTGTATGAGTTCTCAGATATGATGGGAACACGGAAGGATAGTTGCGAAGCTTTCGCGGTTGTCTCGTCCACGCGGGTTTCTTTATGTGCCGCTATGAGATTTAGCTTCGTCCAGTGATCACATATTATTCCTTTAATTAAATGACTGAATGAAATGAAGTAAAAGTCTGAAAAGAGATCTCAAAGCATCTCCTGAAATATCCTGGTTCCATTTTTTGGGATGTGTCCACAAACTTACAGGGTCAGCCCACTTCTTCTAGGGCCAGCCATACTCCACATGGCCACCCTGTGTCTAAAAAAAAAAAAAAAAAAAAAAAAAAAAAACAACACTTCTCTATATTATATGATCCATCCTCTCAGCAGTTCCGGCAGGATAGAAGGGCTCGAATACTTATAGCACTCTGAACAGCTCTTCCTTCTGCCCCTTCGCCCCACCATGCTGCTGGAGCGCACAGCTCAGTCTGACCAGGAGACCAGAATGCTGCCTGTGCCTCACCAGCAGGAAGCTCAGGTACTCCTGTTTCTGAGTCAGGAGGCTTCTTATGGCAGCTTGTTGTGGCTTAGATGTGGTCAGTCCTTCACTGTCCCTGTGTTGGAGGCTTGGTCCTCGGCGTGGTTCTTCTGAGGGGTGGCGAGGAACCTTTCCACAGGTGAGGCCTCCTGGGAAGGGTGGGGGTGGTGGGAGTGGAGTTGGGTGACTGGACACAAGGCCTTTGGAAGGAAGTAATGTCGGGCTTTTGTTCAGAGAGCTTGTTATGAAGTTCAAGCCTTATCTCAACTCTATCTTTTCCCATCGAGACACCATCCACCATGCTGTGACACAGGGGAGGAGGGGTCTTAATGAGTGCAGGCACCATGCTGTTTTGCCCCTTCTAAACAATGATTAGATAACCTCTTTATAGGAGTCTACCCTAGGGTATTTCCTTATAACAGAAAACTAAGACATAGCCTTTGTGTTTCTGTAATAATCTGCTTCCTCACAGCACACAACAGTTAGTAAAGTACAGTAAAGCGGTACTGCACTTGCAGTCAGTGCTGTGATGATGTCACTGCTGTGAGGTCATCATAGTGATGCCACAGCTGTGACGTCACTGGTGTGATGTCCAGTAACTGGCTGAAACTCCTACCATCTTGAAAAACGAAGGCAAAGCTGGGGACATGGCAAAGTGGTAGCGCTGTGCACAAGGATCCCAGCACCGCCAACAAAAATCAGTGAAGATCAGCAGGTTGTCCTGTGAGGCCCCTGTCATGGGTGAGGAAGCTACTGAACTTCAGGGATGTGCTCAGAGGCACCATACAGGCAGAGGCAGTGGGGCTCAGATGCAGCCATGCTTGACACACGACCTCAGGCCTACTTCTGCTCGACATCGCCACCAAGAAGGGCAGCGTGTACTTTGGCGTAATTGTAAATGTTTACATAGCTAGACTATGCCTTATTCTTCTTTAGCTGGCAATTTTCATTTTAGTGTTTAAAAGTGGGGGGAATACAAACTGCCATCGTCTACAGCCTTCAGTTCTGTTAGTTTGGCTGAATTGGTGTGATATTTACAGATCAATAGCAAAATCCACCGAGGTGGGTAGAGCCTTCTGGTATTTATATTTAACCTTTCCTTTAAACAGCAAGCTGGAGAAAATTGCCAACACAAGGCCTCCATGAATGAGGCCAAAAGTTCATCGGGCTGAATAACTGCTTAATTAGACACCTTCCAGAACACCACGACCTCTCGAGAAAGGTCAGCTCGCTATGACAGCTGCGTGGATGTATGGTGTGAGCACCAGGCTGCACGCCACATACAATTAGGACCAACGGAGGTGTAACATATTGGTAATGATGCTCTCTGGCCTTCTATCTTGATTAAAGGATGCGCCACTAAAAGGCAGCTGAGGAGGAAGATTTAAGAGAAAAGCCCACTATAGGGATAACCTGTCTTTAGTGAAATGCTTAAAACATTGGGTAGAGATCACAGCGGTCTTGTGGGTCAGGTTGAAAGACAAAGAGAGCTCGTGTGGCTTGTCCCAGCCAAACATTGTGGTTTTGGGAGGTGGGTCTAGTGGGAAGTACTTGGGTAAGAGGGCTCGACCCCACCTGAATGGATTAATGCTATCTAGAGGGAGTGATTTACTCTAATAAGCAGGGTTAGCTACCACTGGGGGAAGGGCTGTTAAAAAACAACAACAACAACAACAACAACAACAACAAAAGGTTAGCCCTTGTCCTTGTTCTGTCTCCCACATGCACCCACTTCCCTTCTGCCATTTGCCACGAGGTTTACACCAGAAGCCAACCGCATACAGTTGTGTAATCTTGGGGTCTTCACCTCCCAGAACTGGGTGCTAAGTAAACCTACTTTCTTTGTAAATTACTTCGTCTTGGCTATTCTGTTACAGTAAGAGGGAAAAAAAAAGCAGAGAAAGAGAGAGAGAGAGAGAGAGAGAGAGAGAGAGAGAGAGAGAGACAGAGAGAGAGAGACAGAGAGAGAGAAAGAGAGAGAGAACACAAATGGGAGGGAGGAAGGGAGAATGGGCACAAGAGTGACTATTACCCTTAGCACTAAAAACCAATACCCATTTCTTTTTATTATGAGTTTCAAAATAATGTATCGAACTCTAGGCTAGGCTGTGGTCCATTCATGCTGAGACCACAAAGAGCCATCATGACTTATGAAGTGTGCGTTTAGAGATGTTTATTAACAAGAACACAACCCTGCTCTGGCCTTACCACTCTCATGGGATCAGACGGTTTATTTTTTTTAAAGACTTTGACCATGACACCAGATGAGGGCCACTGGGCCCTAACCTCAGGGTTAATTAGCAAATTTCAAAAGGCAAGAACAGCAGTTTTTCAATTTGAGAATCATCTTCTAACAACTCCAAACTTCTTTTATTACAGAGAATTCTGAAGAATAAGGACAGGCCTTGCTCTGAAGTTCCCAGAGGGTGTCCAGCACGGCAGGATTTTAACTTAGTCAGGGACACATTCCAGGTGCTTGGAATCGGGGAGACTCTATCATAAACATGGAACTCTGCTGATGTCTGAAGTAAGGCCATGGCAGCGAAGATGCAGAATCACCCTCTTCAGGGTGCATCACAAGGTGACCAAGGATCTCTGAGCAGTCTGGACTGATAGAACCCATGGTTCTCTAATCAGAGACAGAGAACACATGCACACTGGACTCCAGCTGGTTGGAGGAGGGAGGGCTGGGCTGGCCACTCTGAGAGGGCCTGGGCAAGAGCGGGGTCTCACTCACCATCTGTAGGACATCAGCAGAGACCATCTGCATGCAGCACATGGCTGTGGCCAATGCGCACACGATGGTGGAGAGGACGTTGAGGGCACACACGCTGAAGAGAAGATCCTGAAAGAAGAAAGGAAGGAAAAGGGTCAGTTCTTCCTGGTCACTCAGATGCAGAATCCAGGGCACACAGTAAGCCCGGGGCAGCACCACATGAGCAGAATGCTCGTTTTGTATGTGGCTGTATTTTATTCACGCTCAAAATTAGCCTTTAAAATACACACATTTGTTTGTGTTTTTACTATGATGCTCAAACTGTCATTAATACTAAAAATACTAAAATAGGTCTTTAATAATTTTGGTAATTCTTAGGTAGTCTGTAAAATAGCTGAGAAAATATTGGGATGCTCATGTCAAGAAGGTGAGTAATTTTTATCAGTCACAAAGTGTAGCTCGACAATGATGAGTGTTTAATAAAATGTCGTTTTTAAATGACTTTTTTTGTGTTTATGGAACTGTAGATTCCCACGTAATTGTCAGAAATAATGCCAAGTTATCACGTGTACCCAGTGACAGCATCTCAGCTCATTATCCCAGCCAGGATACTGACAGCCCAGTCAAGACATGGAACACCCCACCACTGTGGCTCTCCCGTGTTGCCTCTTAAAAAAAGAAACTTCCCTCCCTCTGCCTGCTTCTCACTCCAAATACCTTCTGTCAACCACTAGCTTGCTCCTCAGTGCTTATTTCAAGAATGCTACATGAATAGAATCACAGAGCCTGTGACTATTTGCAATTGTTTCTCTTTTTCGTCTTCATTCCGCACAACTGTCTTATGATCCACCAAGGCTGCGGTATGCATTAACAGGCCATTCCTCTTTATTGGTGAGTAGTATTCCACTATATGGATGTACCACAATTGGTTTAACCTGGGAAATCTGCAACTTGGGACTACACGAATAAAGCATGCATATTTTGTGCAGGTGTTTATGCGAATGGAAGTCTTTATTTCTCTGTAGCAATTGTCCCAGACAACAATGGCTAGGTATAGTTATTGCATAGTTAGTTTTGCAAGGAACAGCGAACCATTTGACGTTCACGCCCATAATGCATGAGCAGTCCAGCTTCTCTGCAGCACTGCAAATGTTTTGTGTGGCTTCTAGCTTAGCCGTTCTGATGGGTCTGTGTGGATTTACTTTTCCAGCTCTATTTCCAATTTCCCTGATGTGTAAAGATGTCGAACGATTTCTTCTCGCTTGCTATTTGCCATCTGGTTCCTCTTTAGTAAAATGTCTTTCAGGTTTTGCTCATTTTCCCGTTGGCTGGTTTGCCCTTTCACTCCTGGCTTTTAAAAGTTCTTTATATCAGTTCTTTTCACGGGCACACGAGTTGCAGATTATTTTCTCAAACTGCAGCATGGCTTTCCAAGAACTTCCCATGGTGCCTGGGTTTGGGGTGCAATAACAAAAATGTCACCAGATGTGTGACAAGACATTTGTTTCCTACCTTGGGGGGGGGGGGGGCTAAGGGTATAGAGCAAGACGTTGTATCTTCTGGCTGTGGCTTTGCCTCATGGGAACGGGGCAGCAAGTTCTCTGGGTTCTCTAAGGACTTGAACCCATGGAGAACTCCACCTCAATGACATCATTTTGTATGGAGTCATGATGCTCTAATAATGTCATAGTAGGGTCAGGATTTTAGCATTTCAGCATAGGAATTTGGGGCGGAGGGGACGTCCAATCCATTGCCAGTTAGCTTTTCATAGAGCACAAATTTCCAAAATTCTCTCCCCTCCCTCCCTCTCCCTCCCTCCCTCCCTCCCTCCCTCCCTCCCTCCCTCTCCCCCTCCCTCCCTCCCCCCCTCCTCTTGCCATGCTTTGGGTGCCAAGTCTGTCTAGCTCTAAATACTTAAATATTTTCCCATGTTTTTTTCCCTAAACAATTTTAGAGTTTTGTTTACGTCCATGCCCATGGCTCATTTTGAGATAATTATTGGATAAGGTTTAAGCTGCAATTCATTTTTGTCCTTTTAATTTTAATTTCCGTATGCTCATTGTGAGTATATAGAAATGTTGTGTGTGTGTGTGTGTGTGTGTGTGTGAGTGTTTATGTGGTATATTGTGATCTTGAATTCATTAGTTCCAGTCATTTTAAAAAAGACACTTTGGCATTTTCTATGCAGAGAATTAAATTCTCTGCAGATGTTGTTTCTCTGCACTTCACATGCTGCTACCCACTTGCCTTGCCTTAGAGCACTAGCTGGGACTCTGACCCATGGGAGTTGCAAGACTAATGAGATGACAAAAGCAGACACCTTCACCTTGTTCTCCATTGTAGAGGGTCTACTCCATGGCATTGCTCTCCATCTTAGAGGGTCTACCCATGGCATTGTTCTGTCTTGGGGGTCTGCTTCATGTCATGGTTCTTTATCTTAGAGGGTCTGTTTCATGGTATTTAACTGTCCAAAGGCAATTCATTCTTCTTTGGGACATTCATAATGAAATGCCATAAATATTATTTACAAAAATCCTATTTTTACAAAAAAAAAAAAAAAAAAACGGGGCTGGAGAGATGGCTCAGAGGTTAAGAGCACTGGTTGCTCTTCCAGAGGTCCTGAACTCAATTTCCAGCAGCTACATGGTGGCTCACAACCATCTATAATTCAATCTGGTGCCTTCTTCTGGCATGCGGGCAGCACACTGCATACATAATAAATAAATCTTTAAAAAAATGACCCCAAAGATTCACAAAATTGACCAATGATCCATCACCCAACTCTAGCTTTTTTGAATAGACAAAACACTATACACATCCCAAAAGTTACCGGTAAAGATTCTCTTCACAGAAGAACAACAGTATTCAGGTTAGATACAGTGATCTATCAAAGGGTGAGCATCTCCGAGAGGAAATAAAAGATGATTCTCTCTGTGACTGACATTGTGCATGCATGCAGGTGTCCGTGTCCATCTGACTGTCTAGTCCACCACAATTTCCAGGGCTTGTCCCTGTAGTCATGAACCAGTGTCTTTAATTCTAGAACACCTTCTAGGAAGGCTGTCACTGCAGAAGTCACTGTCTACTCCCTTCCCTTGGAACCTTGAGGCCAACTTGCGAGATAGAAAAGGGGTGTGATTCTGACAATATTCTGGAGTGTAAATTTAGCTCATGGCATTTCATGGTTCTCAAGGTTGGATAGTCCAGTGTAAGTGGAGCCAGAGGAAGGAGTCTGGGCTTACCATCTAAGCAGTGCTCAGTCTGTGGCTAATGGCTCCCACTGTCATCCCCGCCATGGCGACACCTCTAAACAATGTGAGAATCCAAGTCTGCCCAGCCCTGTGAGCCCAGGCTCAGTGTCTCTAATCCTTTCTGGTAGCCCTGTTCCTGGCCTCTAGTAGTTTCTTTCCCAGCATATGATAACAGTGTTCAACAGAATACCCAAGGGACACCCTTCACAGACCCCATAGGAACCACAAGTCCTTTACTGCATCCCCATACATTTTGCCAATTTGGTGGTTGCTTCAAGCAGGAGGTAAATCTCGTCCCTGGCTACGCCATCTTGGGAAGAGGCTTTGGGTGGCATTTTTGTTTTGGATTATGGTATAGCTGAGCAGGCCATAAAGTTACTACGGCCACTCCATATGCCCCTTCTGCTCCTCAAGCCACTAAAGAAGGAACAGGGTGGGAGTTTGAACATGGAACAGAACACTTACACAGTTCTAGAGAGAGGATAAGGAGCTCCAGCTGTGTTTTTAACTCATTACCAATGAAATTACCAATGAAAATGTGTGATGTTGGAGTGGCAACAAGAGCTTCATTTAAAATGACGGAGAAAGTAATTTGAAGGCTATAGCATAGAACCTGAGCTTTCACAGGGCTCCAAAGTTTGGAAACACTGAAGAGACTGGTGATATGCTGTTGTAGAGGGGCGTGAGCCACAGCCCACAGATATATGGGGACGGTGTCTGAGCCGGACTTCAGAGCCCAAGTCAATACAGTGTGGCCATGTTTTGTGGATGAGTAGGGGGATAATAAATGAGGATGAAGAGATGACAGGAGGTCATCCTTGTTAGTGTAACCTGGGACACCAGCCCCAGGGTCAGGGGGTGATGGGAGATGTCCATTTCAAACAAGTATCATCTGGGACACGGGATGTACCATTCCACAGACAAGCTAGAGAGTGGTTGGCAAAGCAGATCTGTAGCTCATGATGGTGTCCAGATCTGGAGGAGCAGAGTTGGAGCTGTCCCATGACCTTGACCTTGAGAATGTTCCTCAATGTGTCCAGTGGCCTATATTTACTCCTATTTCTAGATCCATCACACTTCAGGGGTCAGGGTACCCCAACCAGTGCCCTGAAGGAGACGCATGTCTGCAATGAGATCACCATTTTTACCTTATGGGGACATTAGAGAACATTATACCGGACTCTTCATTATATATTTTACATGCGTCTAAGGGTAATTCCAAATTATAACTAAAAGAGTGATCCCCATCAATGCAGCATAGCTAGAAATAGATTGAAAACTGGGAAGTTCGACTTCAGTGACCACATGTCCCACTGTCACTGAGATGGATGCCCTGAAAGTATCACTAATTTCGCATCCACTTCCACCAGCCTTAAAACCTCTCCCGAACACACACCCTGAGGCGAGCGCTGCTTTATGTCTTGTGAGATGTGTTTATTTGAAACACATTCCAGAATGACTTCTTTCCCACCGCTCCCCCAGTTGCTTCTCTAACAACACAATGCTGGAATTGGGTTTAAATGTTGCTTTACAATCCCTTTCTGGTTTAAATGACACCTTCACCGCCACGGCAGCTTCCTCAGGGCATCACCGCGAATGCTAGAGTTCAGTCTGTAAAATCCCTGTCCACGGTCAGTGGAAATGCAAGCATGGAGACAGCGCGTCTGTCAGTGCTGATCACGAAGCTGGCCGCTAGACACTTGCCACCACTACCTCCCAGGTTACTAATCTAATTCTTAAGAAACTCCCTCACAGAACACTTCGGGCAGAGAACAAAAACAAGAGGGAAAAAGTTGTAGATACTCAGGCAAATCTACACATGATGAAGTCTCCAAAGAACTTCTGCACTCCCAGTAAATCTTCCAGCACAATTACTAG